TTTCTAAATTTCTCCAAAATAAAACATTTAGGTGGCGACTCTGTATCTGGCAAAGCAGTCCATATTTAGCACTTCTTTCAAAATCTGTTTTCTCAAAACGATTTGCCGGATTTGGACTCTTTGGTTCAGATTAAGAACCGTGACAATTTGAGAGTCCGAACATATAGTGAGCCCAAATGAACAGAACGGGACTCATCCTCCCGAGGCGTTCGGGGACGTCTACACAAACATCCTCTTCATTTTGTTGTATTATTTTCTTGTCAGAGAGAGTATAAACACTTTGTGTGTTCGTTAGACAAACAATTTGTAGTGCTGCCATTGTTTGTAGTAGATCATTTTATCCTGGGAGATAGACATCCACATTCTGAAAGCATCGTGGAGAAGACGAATCTGTCTTAAGGACACAGTGTCAAACACTGGACTTGATCAGATTATAATTCGAAGAAATTAAATCAAGTAAGTTATTTAATTAATTTTTGTGTTATTGTTATTTTTTTAAATCATATTTTAATTTTGTTTTTGTAACAGAATAAAATCTATTTTTATTTATTTATTTATTATTTCGAGTTTGATTTTTGTAATCAAACAAATTCTCTCCTTTTCTTTATTTCTTTAAATTCTAGTTGTTGTTTTGTACACAATAGAATTAAATCTTTTAAATACAGTGAAGAGTGTACAACACAAAGAAACAAAGAAGATAATATTCACATTCCAGATTCAAATGATGTAAGTAATTTTTTTTTTCTCCTTTTAGTTATTGAGTACGTGCAAAAGTTTTTTTCGTTATTTTAATTTTTCCCTTTCATATTATAATTATTATTTTTTAGGGTGGAATTATTAACATGCCTTTTCATTTTAGGTTTTTCACATTTATAAAGCAGGATCAGATGGACCAGTTATTAATTGTCTGTATGGAGGTGGTTATTCTGGGCACGTTTGATTTTATTTTAATAGAATTGTCTTATATTCTTTCATAGTATTTCTAACGCATGAATTACGAGAATCCTGAGATCCAGACTAATGCATACTATTATGTAAACTTTAGTGAGGTTATCAACAAACTAATATACAAGGAGAATCAAAATAGTCTATATTGTGGTGCAATATCTTATCTTTCTAGCTTTCTTAGTTATTGTATTTAGAAAAAGACAAAACTGTAACATATAGCAGTTTGAAACAAGAGAAATAAGCAGTGAAGAGGACTCACATTGAATAGTAATTTCATAATATAATTTTTAAAGGGAAAGGAGTTTAATGCCTTTGTCCTATTTATCAGAATTACAAAAAATTTAACCTGCAACTTCATTTCTGTTCTGTCAATGATCTCGTATAGATTCTCCACTGCAATGTTCCACTATGTGCCTTTTGATTATCTGTAAATATAATTTTTTTCCCCAAGAAAATGACACTGTCTTCAAACACCCCCACCCAAATCCCTTACTAATTAAAGAAAAAGAAAGTTACATTAACTAAATTTAATTCACATTGTTTTGTTGTTGTGTATGTCTTACTTTTATATGGTTGCAGTTCTAGATTGAAAAAGAACCAAAAACAGAAAAAGAATAAAGATTGCATATGCTGATATTATTATTTCAAGCGCTCTGCGACTTGTTTACCTTGGTACATGACAAAATTCATTTGGACAGGTTTCATTTGCATTGGCAGCTAGTAAACTTAAGCAAAAGTCAAGGGTAGTAGCCATGGACCTAAGACGACATAGGAAATCATCCATAGAAAATGAACTAGACCTATCAATAGAGGTATGTATTTTTTGGGATATACTAGAACTACTGAAAAGGATGCGTTCCACTACTCATGCACATCATCAGTTTTTTTTTTTTTAATTTTAATCTCCAAAGATTTTTTTATACCCGTCTCTTTGCTTGAATTTAAGTGATATTCTATTGGTTGCAGACTCTATGCAATGATGTGATTGCTGTTGTGAAACCAATAGTAAATGACCAAAAAAAAAAAAAAAGACAAAGAGCATAGTTTTGTTCTGTTAACAGTATTGGATGCTTGCCCTTCTGTTCTGTCATAGGTTGCTCTTGAAACAGCTTGTTACAATGGAGGTTATTCAGTGGATGACTTTATGGAATGCATTCAAGGATGAATTTGAGAATGAAAAGAACATGCTTGGTGGTTCTTTAGGACGATCAATCACAAGGCTGATGCTTGGTGAAAAGAACATGCTTGGTGAAAAGAACGATCAAGCAGAAGGCTGATGCTTCAAAACCATATATATTCCTTCCTGTTTTAGGATTTTTTTTTGGATTCCTTCATTGATTTTCCTTTTAATTTTTGTTCAATTACTTATTGGTTTTCAATGGATGGATGTTTAAAACTTGTCTCAATTAATGTTTTAAATGGAATGATTGTAAAGTTTGGGATTGAGCAGGAAAATATGATGAATTTTAATGTTATATTTGGGTTGGGTTGAATGAATTTTGTTCAATATTGGATTGAATGTTTATAAACAAAAATTTATTGTTAAAAAAAAAAACAAAAAACGAAAAGGAGATTCGGCGACTAACTAATTAGTCGTTGATTGTTTAATGTCTTTTGGCGACAAAATATTTGGTTGCGAAAAGTTTTGGTGACTAAATAATTTGTTGCCAAATTCTACACTTTTGCGACTAAAATCATTGGTCGGCAATTCCTTACCTTTTGGCGACTAAATTATTAGTTGGCGATTCCTCAACTTTTGGCGACGAAAACAGTTGGTCGCCGATTTTTTGCTATTGGCGACAAACATATTTGGTCGGGAAAATATCACTTTTCGCGACTAAAGTGTTTTAGCGACTAAATGAATTAGTCGCAGTAATGATATATTTAGCGACCAAAAACTTAGTCGGCAAATCCAACTTTTCCCCGACCAACCAAAACTTTGGTCGCGAATTACTTTTGCCGACCCTCAATTGGCAACCAAAGTAGCGACCAAAAAAATTGGTCGCGGATAACTTTTGCCGACCAAAAATGGGCTTTTAGCGACCAAGTTTTTGGTCGGCAAAAGTGTTAATTCTTGTAGTGAATATAGTTATGGTAATTTAAATAAAATACAGAGATATGGGAGAGAGAGGCAAACAAATTTATAGTGATTCGGCTTCAACTCTGCCTACGTCTACTCTTCAAGTTTCACTTGAGATTTTTCACTATATTCTAATTTCACAGGGTGCTAGCAACTTTTTCACAGATGGAGCAATCTTCCACAGATTTTACACAGACTTTCTAAGTCAAGAACACTGGGTGTACTATACTCTTACAAGGTTGAAAAGAATGTGTTTTTATTTTCACAGAAAGGTACAAGAATTATCTCTCAAAGATATATATAAAAATGAAACTCTGATTTTTTTGTAAATCTCACACAAGAAAGATGGGTTTAAAGCTATACGTCTCAGTGTATAATTTTTGAAAGAGGATGCAAACAAAAATTGAAGAATACTTCTCAGAGAATTTTTCAGAGAATAGATGTGAGTGATTATAGATCAAAGAATATTTTCTGATTTTTTTGTAACTTGTTTACATTAAAGGCTTTGGTATATATAATGAACTTATAGCCGTTTATAGCCATTGTATTCATTTGAATATATTTCACTCCATCATTACTAATTTGAATATCTTCAATTCCATCATTACTAATTTGAATATCTTCCACTTGAACCTTTTGACCTGCTGTTGTGCAGGGCTGTTTGACTCTCTGGTTTGGGCATTATTTTTTGGTTGAAATGAACTCCTGATTTAAGCAAATATTAAATACATTCAAACAATATTTATGATAAAAGTTTAGGTGAGAAATAATGAGACAAAATAAATTTTGGATTCTATTTTTCTTTTTCAAATAAATTAAAATATAATTAAATAAATCATCAAAATAAATTTTAGATTCTATTTTTTTTCTTTCAAATAAATTAAAACATAATTATATAAATTATCAAAATAAATAAGTTTAACACGTTGGTTTTTAAATAGAAAATTAACAAATTTGATTAACAAATTTTTTTTTTCAATTATTTTTTTCCAAATAATTTTTATTCACCCCATTTTTTTAAATAATTTTTTTTTCAATTAACTTTTTTTAATTAAATTTTTTCAATTACAATGTGTATAATCCCATTGTCATAAATAATAAAAAATAAATATAAATATTTAAAATTTTGTAACTTATGTTTTTAAAATTTTTCAAATATTTTGTTCAAATCAAATGTGTTTGTAATTTATATTTTTCTAAAAATAAACAAAAAATAATTTATAAAATTTTTATAAATATAAATCAAAAACATAAACGTTACCAAACCCCACCTAATTAAACTTGAATTATTTAATTTTTTATAATACATATAAATTTGATCCGGAGAGTAGGAGAGGAAAGTAAATTATTTTAAGAATAATGCTTGGGAGCACTAATTAGTGCTCCCACTAATTAGGTGGCAGTGGGTCCCGCCATTAATGATGTGATGTTTTGGTCTTGGAGTTGTATTTTTTTTTTCAACAATGCTATAGACCACTAAATTTTTACCACTAACACCACCACTAATGATGTGACAAGTAAAAAAAAAAAAAAAAAAAAAAAACTAAGACACAAAACACATTTGGCAGTGGGTGGGACCCACTACCACATCCCTAGTGCAACCACTAATTAGTGGTCTGCATCATTTTTCTTTTTTTTTTTTTTAACTTTTTTAATGCATTAGTGCTATTAGTGGTGATATTTTTAATGGGATGAATTATTGTGGTTATTTCAAGTTTAAAGTTGAAAACTTAAGGAAGTTAAAATCATGCTCAAACAGTCAATATCGAACGAAACTTAATAAGGTAAACACGAGTAGTAGCATGGTTCATGTAGATAATCGACACTTGAAGGCTAGTGAAAATTACATATATTTGCACCCAAATAACTAAAACTTCACTACCACAAAGAGGACATTACATGGATTATGTTCTTCCATTTTTTTTTTCTTATTCATTAATACCATACACCCTCATTTCAGTTTTCGTAATCTTCAGTTCTGTCCAGCTCTGAGCTGCTGAAGATTATCAGCAGAGATCTTAAACGCCTTAGTAAGAACTTCATTGTCAATATTCGATCCAAACAAGCTCTTGGGAAGTGAAACAGTTCCAGCATTGGAGCTCCCAAAAGCTGCCACAGCAACAGCCTTATTGGTCTTATCGAAATTCGCTTGGTAATGAGGCAAGCCCTTCGGGAAAACAAACACATCACCCTTTTGAAGCACGTTCTTGTAAAGTTTTCCATTACTATCTGTCGTGCCGACAGTTAATGAACCATCGACAACGAACAGAATCTCCGCGCCCCTCGGGTGGGTGTGAGGGACGTTGACGGAGCCCGGTTGGAACTCCATGAGTTCCATGGAGACTCCCATGCCATCGAGGGCAGCGAAGTCTTGGACCGTCACGGATTTACGGCCAAGACCGGTGGTGGAGGAGGTGGATGCGGCTCCACCTCGGAGACCTGTGTAAGTGAAGAAGACGCCATCGAGTTTGGACTCGTCGGCACCATTGGGGACGTTGAAGTCGGAGACTGTTTCGGGGTCGGATGCCTGGGAGTGGGTGATGAGGAGGAGTGCTAGAGTGGTGAGAATTGCTAGGGAGTGAGACATTTTGAGGGGTTTGAGAGAGAGAGAGAGGGAAGTGAAGTGAGGCGAAGAGAGTGAAACGGTTTGGTTTGGAGATGGAATGAAGAGGCATGCAGAGAACACAACTATATATAGAAATTGTTATTGGAGTAGTGTGTCAAGAATCCGTGATGGGTGTGAAATACGAAACGGCAATGATGCGGAGTTCTAAAGGTATAGTTTTAATTTGAGCTCTATTGAACAGGTAAGAAAAAATAAAAAATAAAAACTAATACCGACACACATATCACATTATAGATAAGATCTCCAAGAACTTTATTTTTAGAGTTTCAAATCATTTTTGAATATGAAAACACAAAAACACATGTATAGACACAAGATTTACGTAGTGTATATCTTAAGGATGCCTATCCCCTTCTGTCACTGTTTTGGACTGGATGGAGTTGTTTTGGCTCGTGGGTCCACCACGGTCTTCATTTTGATAATGTAAACAGTTTATTTTGTCGGGGTATGTCATCTACATAAAAAATTAGGTCGATTCGAAAACTATAACCAATTCAATTTATTGCATTTTTCACAAAAAAAATAGATGACAAAAAAAAAAAAATCATACATTGTTTTTTATGACAAATATAATAAATTGAACTAATTACAGTTATCAGATCGATTTAATTTTTTTATGGATGAAATACACGAAATACTTGACAAAATAAACAGTTTAGATTATCAAAAAAGAACCTGTAGTGGGCCCTACAGGTCAGAACAATCCCGTCCAATCCAAAACAATGGACTAGAGAGGATCTTCCTCCATATTTAAAAGGGAAATTATAGTTCGGTGAAGGTTTGAAAAAATATTTTCAAATTAATGACACCAAACCAAACCAGGATTGGTACTGAAAAAATATTTTCAGATTAATAATAAATATTATAAATAAAATTATACATTTTTTTTATAATTTTGTAAATCTCTCTGATAGGTAAATCTCCATATCTTAAATTAGGGTATGTGTCCGACCTGAAATTGCACAAGATTATTAAAAATAGATAGATAGAAATTAGGATAATAAGTCAGATTGTTAGTAATCGTATTTATTGTTGGGTATTTTAGATTCTAATAAATTCTGTACACTGAGCCCTGGGGCTAAAATGGGAATTCGGGGGCCTCTGTGTGAGTTGGGTTGGGCACTTTAATAATTTCATATTAATTATTAGGGCATCTCCAACGATAGTAGGCATTTTACCTATCTAAATATTACTATAAAGTATATATTTTATTTTGCCTATCAACTGTTTTATGTTTTTATTGTAAATCTCTCTGATAGGTAAATCTCCATATCTTAAATTAGGGTATGTGTCCGACCTGAAATTGCACAAGATTATTAAAAATAGATAGATAGAAATTAGGATAATAAGTCAGATTGTTAGTAATCGTATTTATTGTTGGGTATTTTAGATTCTAATAAATTCTGTACACTGAGCCCTGGGGCTAAAATGGGAATTCGGGGGCCTCTGTGTGAGTTGGGTTGGGCACTTTAACAATTTCATATTAATTATTACCCTAATTTTAATACTTATAAATAGATGGTAAGTGCCTTTTATATGTGTAAGTGAGATGTAATTATTTTCTTTAACATAGTGCTATTATAAGGTAAACCACATATACTCTTGTATTCTTGTGTTCTTGAGTAAGTGTGATTGATTTGATTTGTTTTAATTTTTTTTTATTTGTCATTTTTGTATCTCATTAATCTTAATTAGAAATTATAGATTTCCTAACACTTATCAGAATTTATACTATTCCAAAATATTATGAATATTTATATGCGCTGTGAACAAGAAAAACATTGTGAATATTTGTATGTACTATAAACTAAACCACTCAATTCTAAGTTCTTGAAGGTGGGGTTGGCAACCAAGATGTTTTTGACACCTTAGACATTAAAATGAGATCTTTGTTTTAAATTTTTTTGAAAAATTAAATCCTTCAACAAAATAATTTTTTTATCATTTTTTTATAGAATTTAAGTGACGAGCTAAGTAACTTAACAATTAAGGTACCTTTAACTTCAAGTAACTTGCCTCCCGATCCAAACTTGGAGTAATGTTCCCACTAATTTTATGTATATGTAGTGGATGGAACATTTATTTTTGAACCTTTATTATAACAATAATTATATGAACCGCACTTAGCTATCTTGAATTTACTTCAAATAAAAGTGTGTGATTATGATTGAATTTGTATAATACAAGATCATATATAGAATAAATTTGAACTATAAGATCTTATATTCTAGATAATAATTCTAAATAGTAAAATTTGAATTTGTAATATTATTATTATTATTATTATTATTATTATTATTATTATTTTGTATAAGTGTGTGACAAACAAATTTTAAGATCTTGAAATTAACTACTGAGAATAAATGATATTTGTAATATTATTCTTATTATAATATTTTTTGGGCTTTTATCAAAGTGTAATCCTTGGTGCCTCGAATTCACCTTGGTGCGAATTTCTGTTCACCGGTCGTTCAACCGATCGTCCGGTAAAAAGGCTGACAGCCGCAGCTGTCACCTTATCGACCACAGCTGTCAGTCATTTTACCAAATGACTGACTGAACGACCGGTAAACAGAAATTCGAGTCATTCAAGTCAAAGTAAATTTGAGATACGTACCATTATTTTTTATCAAAATGCTGATTAGATGTTATGATATTAGATTCGGTGGCATTCCTATTTGTCAGACACTAACCAATACATGTAGTGGCATTCATCCTCATTAACCACAAAAGTAAATTTAAATTGAAGCCAATTGTAATTTCATTTAGTGGTACAACATGAAAAACCATTTCTGAGTGGTACTTGATTACAAAATTAAATATAATTTTTTTTTTTGTTTTTGTTTTGGGTTAATTGAGTATGGAACTCATATTTCCTTCATTAAAGAAGTGCAGGTTGGGATAAATGTTGATGGTGGAAAATGACAGTCATTAGTAGGCATTTGCTGTTAATTAATTAGACCTAGTTTAATTAGTAATCATCATATTTTTGTAAGGATTTAGTTTCAAGAGAAGGTTATGAGTTTAACTCTTTCTATAGGAGAATTGAACTAGGAGTCATGCATTTGGTGCTTTGCTAAGGTGAGGAAGCTAACTCTCATAAAATATTAATCTAACAATTAATAACTGATTTTCGCTGATAAAAATAAAAATAAAAACAAACAGTAGACGCTAGTTGTTTTTGCAATCTCAGTGGCGATTATGTGCAGTCCTTTGTGATATATTTTTTTTTTGATCAGCCAGTCTTTTGTGATATTTGATGATGAGAGTGCATTCAAGCAATTACATCCACAAATTGTATGGGACAAATACCAAAATACACTTGTTCAAAAAAATAAAAAAATAAAAAATAACAAGATGCACACTCAATAATTAATATCCAATTACCATAATTTTGAGATTGTTCACTAAAAATGACATAATATCACTATTATTTTTAATTTTTATTGAATCTTTTCTTTGCCCGCATAATTAAGAAGATAACTCAGAATATACAATAGCATTCTTGCTAAAAAAATGAGAAAATTATTAGAGCTGTTCAAAAATCCGTTCAAACTAATAATCCGGACCGAACTAGACCGAATCGTACGGTTTGGTTCAATTATATTAAGAACCAGTTCGGTTTTGGTTCAAGAAATATTGAGAATCGTAAAAACGATTCGGTTAATGAATTTTATAAAAAAAATCACGATTTAAATCGAACCGAACCGAACCGAACCGAACCAATTTTTAAAAAATATATATATATAATATTTAATAAACAATGGCAATCCTTGAACCATGCGTAAGTGTTATTTAATAAGATATATATAATATTTAATATTATCATATCAAGTTTTATTTTTATTAATTGATTTTTTTGTAATTTTAATGATATTAGGATGATATAGATATGTAATGTTGAGGAATGTCTTTATATTATTAGTTTTTATCATGAGTTAAATATAATTAGTTTGAGTAATTAGTTTATTAATATTAACAATTTATTCTAATAAATAAAAAATTTTAAAACCGTGAACCAAACCATTATTTTGGGTTTGGTTCTGATCTTATTTTACAAGTGTAATTGTTTGGTTTGATTCTCAATATTACTAAACTGTTAGAATCAATTTAATTCTTAAATTTTTTCAGAACCAAACTAATCGGAAACGTGTACACTCTTAAAAATTACATCTTAGTGGTCCCTTTTAAAAGTTGTTATAGATCCATTGAAAAATTTAACAGTTTAATAGTTAAAGTTATATTAAATTTTATCATTGATTTGGATTTTTTTTTTCAAACACACTCTGAATTGTTATTTCTCCCTATAAAATTTAGCGAGTTCAAATTTACAAGTGTTTAACAACATTGTTAATTTGTTGTACATGTTTACAAATCAAATTTTGTACATAAATGTATTCATCATAATATTAGGGTGTATTTGGTAACGCTTACGTTTTCAGTTTATATTTACAAAAAATTTATAAACTGATTTTTGTTTATTTTTTGAAAAACATAAACTATAAACACGTTTGGTAATTGACAAAATGTTTACAAAATTTAAAAAATATAAAAAATAGTGAAAAATGACAAGTGGCGGCGAAAGACGGTGGTGGCAAGTGGCGGCGAAAGACGGTGGGTGGTGGGTGGTGGTAGGTGGTGACGAGTGGGTGGGTGACGGTGGCGGGTGGTGGAGGTGGCAGTGGTGGTGGTGGTGGCGGTTGGTGGGTGGTGGTGGCAAGTGGATGAATTTCACCAAACTCGCTCAAGTGCAAGAAGCTTCGCTCGAGCGAAGAACTTCCTCTTCCCAGGAAAATTGCATCTGGGAGAAAAACCTAAAGACCCTCATACCTCGCTCAAGCACAAGAAACCTCACTCGAGCGAAGAAACAAATTACACAAGGCTCGCTCGAGCGCAAGAAGCCTCGCTCGAGCGAAGAGGCCAAAATCTGGGCAACAACAATCTTGACCAACCAACAACAA